GCCGACTCGTGTCGCGACAGGATTTGTCGAATCTAGACCAATAGTGGATATTGCACAAACTGTTAAGCTTAGTTCACACTGGGCGCATTTCGCTAGCGAAAGCGAAAAACAAAGCGAATAACCGATCAAACGAGTCATGTTTGACCGGTTATTCGCTCTGTTTTTCGCTTTCGCTAGCGAATCGCGCCCAGTGTGAACTAAGCTTTAGGTTTAAACGAGCAGCGGACCTACTATAAACCATTTCAACGGAAATAATAATTATATTTATATTAATGTCGTCTCCAAAGTTGTCTCCAAAGCTTGTTTTCGTCGCGTTGCTTCGCGACGAAAACAAGCTTAATTAAGCAATGGTGTCGTCGAACGCAGGTGCACACTCGATAAGTAATCCTACAATTTTTTGTTTATTGCATAGTTTACATGAATTATTCCCAACAAATTATACGTGTTTTGGAAATGTTCAGTCAAATTAGTCTAGAATCGATTTAATTAATTTTATGGAAGAAAACATTTCGAACAGCTGTAGTCCCTAAACTGCACACGTGCCGGGCTGTAATTGACTCATGTATTTAAGTGACTGGTAAAACATGGAATTCATATAAAAAGGAACGTGTCTACCGTGTTATAGAGGAGTCTACTGTATAACATAATTACAATTGACATTTTGAATTATTAAAGATAATTTTATAAATTATTCACACATTTAATTACGACAAAATCTGTTTCGAAGTAAAATGTATAATCTTACAACCATTTTGCCTATATTTTACAACATAACTCCTTATTTAAGTCTACAACACAAACTTTTGAGAAGTTTATCAAACGTAACGTAACTGGAACTTTAACACTTAAAATGCCAGTCGTGCTTGTTCTACTCACTTTCTAATTAGTTTTACGGCCCTATTCTTTACCTTAATTTTAGAAAAATAATAATTTACTTTCAAAACTTACTTTCTGAATCACTATTGTCTTGCGGCAGTTCACGTTCCTTCTCCATTTTCGTCGCACAAAACAGATTCAAAGTGACTTCTACGAACAGTGAGATATACGCTACGTAATTCAAAGTAAACCGTCGCACCATCTACCGACGTCACCTGGAAAGATTTTTGTCATTAAATTTTCCAAATTACTTGCGTGTTACCTGTAAAGTAAATAAAATAAAAATTACATATAAATATTTTTAATGCATAAATTTAAATATTAGATCGTATTCTTCGTTTACAAATCAATTGTTAAACTTTAAAGAGCTGATAAACTACACNTAATCTTATAATATAATCGAAATGAGTTGATGATGATGATAAATGCAGAGCCCAAACGATTAGTGTACCAAATTTCTACTTTTTAACTCCTAAGAAGGGAGTTCTCGAAATTCCTTCCTCGGTGACAGAGTAAAGGTTTCTAGCACCCAATGAAAACAGCTTTGATCTTAATCGTCACTATCGTTACTTTTCCTGAGCAACACTGGGCTCATCTGTTAGTGATTGATAAAAATCCCATAAGCGATGGCATCTCACACAATTTATTATATTTATTACGATTTATAGCATAAAGGTATTTTTGATGATAATCTCATAACAGCCGGGCAAGTTATGCAACTTGTTGCTTAATTTTTTTTTGACTTAACAGATGGCATTACACGTAATACTGTATATATGTTAGCGCGTTGTATACTGTTCAACGAATCCGCACCAAATTTGGCAAAAATATTTTTTGCCACCCAAGAAAAACATTGGAACTGTCCCAACCCCCATCTACATCTAAATCTAACTTNTACTATTCTTCGGCTTACATGTTCGACCATGTCGCGCGGAATCGACACATAGCAACAATTTATTTTGTGTTATTCATTTCTGTTCGTTTATTTCTGTTTGTCATTTATATCTAAGGAGACTTGAGAGACTCTATATGGTGATTTCTTGTAACAGTAACCGAATCAAACGACGAGATAAGATTAACCAGAACATTTATTAGCTTACATACATCCGACTTGGATTTTACACAAATTGAGAAATTATACCCCGACTTACGCGAATTCGACTTACGCGGTTATCACTCGGTCCCACCTATCGCGTAAGTTCGGGGTATTACTGTACTGTAAATAGATCTTTTCCATGCTGTAAGTACAGGACAAGAATTATTTCAATGTAATGTACAGTGTACAGTACACGAACTGTAGACTTTTTCCCGAAGAAAACAGTCGAGGATAAACATTCCTGTTGCAATCTCTGTACTTAAATTTAATGATGTGCCGAGTTAAAAACAGATGTTTATAAATACAGCAATTTTGTACAAAGTGTACAGCTTGTACACTTTGTACAAAATTGCTGTATTTATAAACATCTGTTTTTAACTCGGCACATCATTACAACATTAAGTATAAAGTATAAAGTGTACATTAAATGTGTACACTTTATACTTATCACAGCTTGTGATAAGTATAAAGTGTACACATTCAAACTGTAACTGTTTGTAATGTATTAAATTTTTTATCCTATAATGTTATCAATCGAATATTAGCATAGAACGTTCCACGTCTTAAAGGAATCGTAATACGCATATTTTTTTATAAGTCATTTTATATTTAGAGAAAAAGTATTAAGAGTTTATTTTACATGAAATTTTTAAACAATTATTTAATTCCACTTTTGTAACAAAAATCAATGATTTTAAAAATTATTAATCAGAAAATTATTTTTTTTAGTTGTAATCTGCACCAACAATGCCACCAACTGAAATACAAAATAACAAATTTACCAGTTAATAGATGACTATCACCGGTAAAGTACAGTAGACCGACCCCCTNTCTTTTTGACTTAACAGATGGCATTACACGTAATACTGTATATATGTTAGCGCGTTGTATACTGTTCAACGAATCCGCACCAAATTTGGCAAAAATATTTTTTGCCACCCAAGAAAAACATTGGAACTGTCCCAACCCCCATCTACATCTAAATCTAACCTTTCTAACTTGATCCCGAGCAATTTTTTTGTGCCTTGAAATTGTTAGACTTGGTGTTGCTTTTAAGAGATTAGGAAAAACTGGTTACTAAACAATGATTACACTGTCTTGACTCACAAAAGGACAGCGCTGGAAAGGGGAGAGTGAAACGAGTACACCGTCTCTAACGGCTTTCCAAGCGGTCAACAGCTATATTAACCTTTATTATGTAACCAGAAAAACGTTTACATCATCGTCGCTTATCTCGTGGATTCTACACATCGAATGGAATATCCAATTGAATAATCCATAATATTGTATTGAATTAGAATTTCATTTTGTAACTAGATTCGCGTTTAAAAACAACCAAATGGATACTTCCAGAGAGAACTTACCTTGTCTTTTGTTCCTCCACCCACATACTCATTCAATAATTCCGAATTGTAGTCGATTTTTCTATATGCTGGATATGGAAAAAATAAATTTTGAAAGAAATAAGACAATCTCTAATAAAAACACTCACTACAAATATCTTCCACATTCATGTATCGGAAAACAATAAAAAAAAAGTCAGGAAT